AGCAAATCGTTTGGTTCTAATGCGTGGAATATCGACAACAAAAGGGTGAAGATCCGCCGACCGCCTGGTTGTCCGATGGTGGAAAGGAGAGGGAGAAATCAGAGCGTGTAATTCCTGCGCACAGACACCGAAATGCTTCCTATAGAATACCGAGAGACTGGCTAGTCTGCGCTTGTGCTCAAAGCTGACAAGATTGGTTTCAACCAAATGAACGTCACCAATGAGCCTATTAGCACGTCTCTCCACTGAATCCAACGCTGCCAGGTGGCATTTTGCAGGACCAGCCCATATGTGACAGCAGTACTCCATGCACGACCGGACTTGCGCTTTATATAAGGTAAGAAGCTGCCCCGGCGTGAAGTACCGCCGCACCCTTGCAAGGACACCAAGTTTCCTTGCGGCTGCTTTGGCTGTGGACTCAATGAACCGCCCATAGTTGAGGTTCGGAGAAAATTGAATCCCTAACCACTTAATGCGGTCACTGTACTCCAATTTTTGCCATTGATTGGCATTGCCCCATTCGGAGACTGCCTGTAGTGTAAGATTCACACGCTCTACCATAGCCTCTCTTTCTGACTGGATTTGATCCCGACTGGACCGGGCACTTGGTATCTCTCCACAATTGTGCTGTCGTCTGCATACCCATAGATACCGGGAATGTACCATAGAATTAAAAACTGAAAACTGGATTGTTGTACTAAGATTGCACAAATATATTATGAAGTGAGGAATATAGGAATACTTCGTACAAGTTTTTTTTATGTTTTCACAACAATATAAAGTAATTTTAAGAAATATAGATTCAGAAGTAACAATAATTACAGACATGCACACTCACACGGACATGCACACACACACGCGCACGAAATACAGTCTCAAAATACGTTTAAAAACATTAACCCATTATTCAGTGACTTGTGGGATATACTGTTAACATTTCACAGTTGGGCGATGGTATAAGTAATACATGCTGGGTAATCTACGTAAGGTGAACATCGTGAATGTCTTTTCGAAAACGCACCGATACCTTTAATAAATATAATAACAGGAGTGCCCCTTCGTAAAACACAAACTGTCAGTGCACTCACAATACGTACTACCGCAGAATAAATAATAGTGCTACGTAGTCCTACTCACAATACACGATAGAAGTCGATATATATTATTCGTATTTTGTCTGCTTACTGCTATTTTTCTATGTACTCGGCAGTAAAGAAAAATTATTATTAATAGCGGCGTAAAATAAGCGACTCTCTTTCATTAATTAAAGCAAATAAAAGAGCTTTTAAGGTTCAAGTAATATTTCTTATGGCTCTCTATTTTTGTCTTATAAAATCTTTATAGGGTGTCAGTTTAAACATTAAAGTTATCTATGATCCAAGGTGTTTACTGTGTTAATTAATGGTTAAATATTTTTAGTGGTTGCATGCTTGTATGACGAATGATTTACGATGTTAGCATCTCATTATGAGGTTAACAATCAACTGCTTCGCGTATCTCATCACACAGTCTCGAATCAAGGTCATTGTCAAAAAGCTTATCTTCTTTATTTTTCACATGTAATGTAAGAGTGATGACTAAACCTGCTTATGTGATTCACTTTGAAATTATGGCAGACAAAGTAAGATTATAATTATTTTCAAAATTCTAAAGATTCGTCATCATTATCTTTTTAAGTCAATTGCAAAATATCGTCTATTTCCAAAGGCCAAACTGAAACACTTCACAGAGATTTACACAGGATAGTAGTTAAGTTATTTGGAGTTAATATAAATAATCTAAAGAGGCGAATCGAGTGGGATTTTGTGACTCGAGTCTGTCGGGTTTTATTACGTCACTCAAACTATTCTGCGTCCTCCATTATCACACCGAATAGTGCGTACAAAACTTTATTACGCATCTTTGCTTGCTTCAATTTTTAAATTTTAAAGCCTGGCAAATCGGTATATGAACGATTCATCGCAAGCAACCTTTTACCATCGTGTTCATAATAAATTAATCCTAATCTGTACAAATAAATAAAATTGAAGTGTATGTTTGTAATGTTAAAATAACAGCTTTTTACTAAATGCATATGAAAGTATATACTGTACTAATAACAAAAACACAATTTTTAAAATTTTTGTCTGTCTGTCTGTCTGTTTGTTCTGGCTAATCTCCGAAACGGCAGGACCGATTTTGATGGTACTTTCACTCGCAGATAGCTGATGATATAAGGAGTAACTTGACTACTTTTGTTTTAGAAAAAGAATTAGGTTTCCGCGCAAAAAAAAAACATGTAATCCAAGTTCTACGGGGGCGAAGTCGCGGGGAACAGCTAGTTATAGAATATATCCAAAGCACCCTGTGAATTTTTAATATATAGAAGTTTTAATATATATTGAAATGAGTAAGCAGAATTTTTTTACTTATTATAAGCCAATCCAGTACTTGACTACAATCGCACCTGGTGGTGAATGGTGATGAAGCCCTAGATGTAAATCGCACTTTCTTTTCGTTACATAAGCATATTCACTCTTTCCTTGTAAGACACCCATATTGTCATCAACATCATTACAGCCTTTCACAAGTCCACTGCTGAACATAGGCCTCCCCCAAATGATGCCGTAAAACACGGTCCTAAACCACCTGCATCAATCGACTTCGTGCATGTCTTACCAGGTCGTCACTTCATCTAATGGGAATCAGGGATGGGGTACCCAAATTGTATGTACAGACTGAAAGGCAGGCCCGCAAATTATTCCACTTCTTTGCTGTACGCATTTCGAAAGACGAAGTAAACTACAAGATGAGTACACATTGTTAGTATCAACCCGGTAATGGTAGTCCAGTTACTTTAGCATATAAGAGGGGTCAAACCTCGGATTGAGAGATAATAAGCTGAATTTTGGTATATACCTTCATTTTGGCGTTTTAAAAGTTGTCTCAAAAGTCTCATAAAATTTCGTGTCTGCGTCGTAAGTTATTCAAGGTCAAAGGTAAAAAAATTCGCGATTATCTCTGTTTCTATTGCTCTAATGATGTTAACATCTATTATAAAAATTGTAGAGCATAAAATTTCCGACAAATGTTATTTGAAACATTTTTTCAAGTGCTCAACAGTTTTTGCGATAGAGGGCGGTGAGGGCGCCGCACACAGCCATACGTACAATAATGCAAGGTCAACTGTGAATATCTGTGCATACTACCTTGAATTTTGAATAATTTGTATGATTTATCAGTTAATACATTGTATTTAATAACCTTTTACATATTTTTAATATATTCATTTAATAATACTTACCTAATTTGTGTAATTAAAAACTTATTAAATGAAATACTCATTGTATATCTTAATTTATTAAAGTTAGATTTTAAGTAGAAAACTAATTAAGTACATTATTTTTAAAATACGTAAGTTTTGAAATACTTATTTTTCTATCATGATTATAACTGGAAAGACTGACCTTTGTAATACGACCTTTTTATATGACGTTTATACCTGAAATGATACTTTTCGTTCAGTTTCCTTTCAGTTTTCAATCCGATATCTCAATGATAAAGATTGCTCTTCGTCGTGTTTTATGTTTTAATTCTTCACACTGGCGTTTTTGAAGTTCGGCTCATTATTCTTCAAGCCAGACCTATTGCCTAATGTAGGAGAGATATAGATAGAATACTGAATTTTTTATCTCATTGATATCGTTATTTACGGCATCACGTTTCGGCGCCACCGGTTCTCACGTAAACCGTAAAGTTGCCATGACTTAGGTATTGTATTAGAAGTCTATTAGCAACTCCCCCGTTGAGTCAAACCATGGTGAAAACTGTAAAAATAATGAAACGAAAATTTTCTTGTTTTTAATATATCCTTAAACAAACACGTAATTTTTAAAATGACTATAGCTACGTTGACATTCACTAAAAATATATTACACTCAAAGTATCCTATTTTCATATATTAACCGTGTGGTTACCATAGTGGCGGTGTAAGAATATCCACTACCCCATATCATTTGTGGGTGTCGCAAAAGGCGACAGAGGGCAACAAATCAGGAGATGGGTAGCAGCGTTTTCTTAATAACGACTAAAAATTAAAATAAACTGCGCTTGCTAACTCGTTTTCCAAGCGTGGCAACTATGGCAGATATCCATCCTATATCACAATCTATGGGGAGGCCTATCTTCAGCAGTGGACTTTAATAGGCTATAACGGTAACGATAATACAAATAGTCCAGAAACTTTTAGCCCTACATTTCACTTTAAAAAGGTTATATGCTTAAGAATGCATGGTGGAAATGATAACTTTCCTGAGCTTAACTATATGGTACAAACTGTATGATACTCTAACATTCTGCTGCGAGTACATACTGTGCAATTAGTTATGATTTACAATATGGCTCATTCATTCACTTCATAACATAATAGGTATTGTCTTTCATTTGTTGGCAAACGTATCATTACGTTGTAGTTACAAATAAATTGGTAAGAGAATTTATGAGCAATAATTAATGTTATAAAAATATAATATTCAATTCAATATAATTTAGTTTTCAAAAAATCAGTTAATCCAATTGAAAATATTTTTTAATACATTCGACGGCTCGGCAGCTCAGCGCAACGAGATTATGACTTGTTTTTATATTTATATGTAAAACAATAAGTAGTGCCTTTATAAATTATCGTAGTGTTCAGTTAAAATAAGAAATCTGTTGTACTGATAAATTTTGGAAATTTCTTAATATAGTACATATTACATGGTATGTATATAATGTATTGTGTAAAATTAAATATATTGCTTTTATCAACGGTAATTAACATATTATCACTGCGTTACAGTTTTGTCATTTTGTGAAAATGTTTGCTATGCGATGCTAATAACTCAATATTTTTTAAATATTTGTAAAATCGTCCGTTTAAATCGTAGTTTGCTATACTGTATTAAATATTGATTGAAGACTGTTTATCTGCTGTATGCGAGTGTCATTTTATACAAATACTCCATTTTGTATGTCTACAGAAAGTGTTTCAACTTCTGTAAGTGGTGCATTCTCTTCAGCTGCATCGGAGAGCTTGGCGCGACGCGCCCAGGCAACTGTGCAGGACCCCGTCTTCCAGAAGATGAAGACACAGTTCACCGCTGACTTTGACTTCACACAACCTAACGCTATGAAATTACAAAATTTAATACAAAAGTTGAGGAAATGGGTCAAGATACTCGAGGCCAAAACAAAGGTTTTGCCCAAGTAAGTAGTTTTTCGCGGAAAAGAAACTCGCGAACGAGGTAAATACGGAAATATTTGTAAGCGATTGTGCCGTCGTTCACGTTGATACTGTAGTGGCGCTTACACGACAAACCTAACATCATTACGTAGTATAGCTAGGATTTACTCGTCACTTCACAGGCTTCTGGGTAACAGTTGGCTAAGCAATTAAGCTTATTAATCATAGAGCTTTCATCCACGTATTAACATGTTTTCCATTGCATATATTTGCTTAACCGTAGCCGGGACTTCCTCTAATAAAGGTCTGGTTTCTTTCAGATCATTCCTCATCGAAGAAAAATGTAGATTCTTATCAAATTTCAATCTAAAGACTGCTGAAATAGAACTCCCTGGCGAGTTCCTGCTTCCAAAACATACCCATTACCACGTGCGCATAGCGCGATTTATGCCTCGAGTTGAAATAGTTCAGAAGCACAACACGTCCGCGCGTCGTCTTTATATACGAGGCCACAACGGAAAGATATACCCCTACCTTGTCGTCAACGACTCGGGATTGGGCGATGCGAGACGGGAAGAAAGAGTCCTGCAATTGCTCAGGATGTTAAACCACTACCTGGGTAAACAGAAAGAGACTTCTAGAAGATTCCTTCACTTCACCGTGCCGCGAGTCGTCTCTGTCTCTCCGCAAATGCGCCTTGTCGAAGATAATCCCAGCTCAATATCTTTGTTGGATATCTATCGCACGGAATGCGCTAACAGGTTCGTATCATTTCAAACATTTCTCAAGCTTATAGTGGAGCAATACATTAGACCACAGTAATTTCTTTAAAAATAGGTAAAAAAATTTAAAACTTTAGTTAATGGCTTTAAGAAAGTCTCGATTTTTATTCACCTTAAAGTAGTTTTTTAATATTTTTTTACGTCAAACAGTTATTTGAAAACAACAAATATATTGCAAATGTATTCACATAAAAGATTAATGATTTTTATACGTGTTATACCATTATTTATATTTGTACGAGATCTTTTAAAGCTTAGAGAGTCATCTGGTAATACATATTTCATGTTTAGTTATTAGTGGACTTGAAATTAAATTGCTTTTTTGATTTTAATTATAGCGACAAATATACCAATTCTTATGTTAATGAATAAACATTTTGTAGGGGTGTGGAATACGACGCTCCGGTGGCGCGGTACTATGAACGCTTGGCTGCGGTACAGGCTCGGGGCTCGCAGGCTTCCCATCAAGTGCTACGTGACATTTTGCGGGAGGTGAATACCATCATTTTTAATATATCCTAATAACTTCTTCGAATGTTTTTATCCCTTGACTAGCGATCTGCTCCAACTTCGTACAGGTGAATCTAAACCATTCAGGGAGCTACTCAAACCACAGATTATTAGGGGGTAATCTGTGTACTCAAACGCACCCAAATGATTTCATTAAAATCGTTCGAGCCGTTTACGAGTTTTAGCGAGACTAACGGACAGCAATTGATTTTTATATATAGAAATAGTAAACATCATTAACACTATTTTTTTAAGTCTATGAGTTTTATATTCCTGTGGTATATTATGTGGTAGGGATGGTGTTGTGTTCGTCACTGTTTTAGCAACGGCTCGGGGTTAGGATAAGTGTTTCTGTGCTAGCGGCGTTATATTCATCTACTATAAAAGCACACAAAAATATCTGTCCCTAAATATCTCTATATATCAAAAGTTGGCGCTGTGGTGGACTTAAACAGTTAAATGTCACTCATATACTGTATTCATAAAGGTTTTTGAATGGAAACTTTTTACGGGAGGACTTTGAAATTCTAATCCGCAACCGTTTTGTGTGACGAAAAGTGGTGGGGGTAAACACTATGTACCGGGTCATTCAGGTAGATCATTCTAATCGCGAACACAGGCTATTTCATACTGTTTTGGCCAAATATAGGCATTTGAGACGCCATCCAATAACGTTCGACTTAGTGCATCACCCGATGGTGTCGAGGTGAGGTAAACGCCGCCGGGGTGGGGGGGGGGGGCAGTGTGCTGGCTCCGGTGATTCCGGTGCTGGGCTAAGAAGTCAGTCCCTTGAGTGCAGCGGCGCGGTCAATTAACGTATTTTGTGGTGACCGCTGCAGCGGTTTTTCGCGCGACCAGTTTGTGGTCTAGATTTTTAGTATTTGTGCGCGTTTAATTCGCTATTTAATTTGTGGTTCGTGAGGACCGCCTCGGATTGGTTTGTCTAAGTTGTACGGTCGTGACAAGAGGCTTGTATGGAATTTGACTGATTAAAGTAATTTCGTTTGAAAGTAATTTCGTTTGAAAGTAATTGCGCCAATTATATAGTGATTGCGTGTTGAAGTGCATTTTGCAATATTTAACTTGCTTGTGTGACGTGGAATCTTGCGCGCGCGCCGAGTAGAGATACGGTCTGGAATTTGAAGCTCGCATTCCATTTCGAGGGCGTGGCCCGGTTGATTGTTTTTGGAAGTCATTGTTTAATTGTACCGTCGCGTTAAGAGCCCTTTGTGTGTTGACTCTGTAGTTAGTTGCGTGTCAGCTAGGTTGATTATGAATTCTTATTGCAGCGTAGTATTTAATATCGTACGAAGGAATTTAGTTGTTGTTTGTGACTCGTGAAGAGATCGCGTTAGTTCCCTATTTGTAATTTGGTGATAAATGAATCCGGAACATTGAATGTTGAACTTTGAACTACTGTTCGTTACTTGTGTCGGGTATCACGTGTTTGATTTTACGATGAACGTTGAATTAGTTGAGTTGAAGTTGGTTAAATGTACAATAAAGTTGATAGACTGAAATAGTGACATGAAGAAAGAAGTTGTCACTTGGTGACGCCTGCTGGAGTGATGCAACATTGTGGGGCAGCATGGGACCAGGCCGCTGCCCAGTCACCTCAGCTGGGTCAGGTCAAATAAATAAACATTATATACACCACTTCCTGCATATCTTACCAGGTCGTCACTCCATCTAGTGGGGGAACGCCCTACACTTCGCCTGCCGGTACGAGGCTGCCACTCGAGAACCTTTCTTCCCCATCGGTTGTCGGTTCTTCGAGAAGAAGAACCTGGTAAGATATGCAGGAAGTCGATGGATGCAGGTGGCTCAGGACCGTGCTTTGTGGCATTCTTTGGGGGAGGCCTATGTTCAGCAGTGGACTTGTAAAGGGCTGTAATGATGATGATGATGATGATACACACCACTAAACACCACTTTACATGCACCTACACCTACCTACGGCCTGACCGAGCCTTGGGGCAGTTTTCGCATCGGAACCAGGTACGTCCTATTTATTTACCTAGCCTTATCTCCATTGTGTAGGTCAATTGTCCATAGGCATTTTGAGCCCCACCCTTAGTTATCCGTCGAATCTTCCGCTGATGGGCCCCGGGATATTTGGGCTTTGTTGGGGCAGCTAGGGGCGTGTACACATACCATAAAGTATATAGTAATACAATACATTACAACGGCCTTTCGTTCCAATACTAATCTTACATTATTTTATTTAAAACAGTTACCAAGGTACACGTATTTATTTTAGAAAGAGTGATCACATTTAACACAATATTAATTAATGCACAATATTAATTTATACATTGTGTATATGACATCTAACGTCTTTTCTACTGGTCGTAACCATGAGAGTGTTAATTAATATTGATTCGATAAAATGAATTTACTTATAGAATGAAGTAGATGGCACTATTAAAAATGAACAAGGGAAGTAATTTGAAGCCCAATAAGACAGGGCAGCATTTATTTTAAATAAATTTGTAAATTTTAGAGGTAACGGTGGTAGAGCCCTGCAGCAGTTTTTGCTGTTGCACGTATGGGCCGGCCGTTGGTACCATGACCTCACAGAATACCGGCGTGAAGTAGAGGCTCTGCTTCTGCGTTTCGTCTGGTGAGTGCAGATGGCCGGAGGCTCAATTCTCCCCCCCCATCAACATGGTAGCGGAATTACACAGTAGACTACCCCAGGAGGGTACCAGTACCCCTGGAGAATCCCTCGCTGAGCATCCACGACCATGTTATTCCAATCCTGAGCGTGGGTGCTCAGGCTGCCCCGCGTATTCTGGGGGGGGGGGGGCAAAATTCCGCTCAAAAACAAAACTGCTCGGGGGCAAACTGAGCAACAATACCAAGGCGACCCCTGCCACGCTATCCGTGAATTTCTGCAACATCAGGGGACTTCACTCTAACCAAAACGCCGTCCACTACCATCTCGGGACGGCGAAGCTGGCCTTGCTCTTTCTGACCGAGACGCAGGTTTCCTCTCCGGCTGATATTTCGTATCTCTCCTACCCGGGGTACAAATTGGAGCACTCCTTTGTGCCTCGGGCTGGAGTTTGCGTGTATGTCAGAGAGGACATCTGTTCTCGATGCCTCGGCAGTCTTGAAGGTTCGGACCTGTCCATCCTTTGGCTACGCGTAGACAGCGACGACCATCCGCGCGTCTACGGCTGCCTCTATAGGTCCCATAGCGGTAATGCCGAAACAGACCGACTCATCGACCACGTCCAAATGGCTACAGATTCCTTGCTACAACAGGTCCCATCCGCAGAGATCGTGAGCCTTGGCGATTTTAACGCCCACCATGCCGAATGGCTCGGTTCACGTTTAACCGATCATGCGGGGAGATCTGTTTATGACTTTGCCTTGGCATATGGTCTGACACAACTGGTTACTTCGCCTACGCGGATTCCAGATGTGGAGGATCATACACCTTCCCTGTTGGACCTTCTGCTGACCTCTCATCCGGACGAATATCAGGTTTCCGTCGATGCCCCTCTCGGCTCTTCGGACCATTGTCTGATCCGGAGTGTGGTGCCACTCACGCTCCCTTCGCGGTTGCGTTCTGCAGGTTGCCGCCGTGTTTGGCATTACAGGTCGGCGGATTGGGACGGAATGCGGTCTTTCTTTGCATCCTACCCATGGGGGCGGGTTTGCTCCTCGCCGGATGATCCCAGCGCTGTTGCTGACTCTGTCACTGATGTGGTGCTACAGGGAATGGAACTATTTATTCCATCATCTGTGGTACCCATCGGAGGCAGATCTCAGCCTTGGTTTGGTCGCTCCTGTAAGACTGCATTGCGCAGTAAGCAGGAGTGTTATCAAGCTTGGGCTGCGGCTTCGGTGACTCGGGATGTAAACACCAGCACATTAAAAAAGAAGTATAACTTCGCCTCCAGGTCTTTCAAAAGAGTTATTGCCAAGGCAAAGTCAGAGCACATAGGCAGAATTGGCGAGAAACTAGTTCGCCTTCCTTCGGGAACCCGTGCATTCTGGTCTCTCGCCAAGGCTGTCCAAGGGAATTTCTGTAAGCCATCACTACCATCTCTGCACGGGGAGGACGACTCACTGGCCCAAGACGCAAAAGACAAAGCCGACCTTTTAGGCTCCCTTTTTGCGTCCAACTCGACTCTTGATGACGGGGGAAAATACCGCCGACCATCCTGCGGCGTGAATGCTCCATGCCGGATGTGCGGTTCTTACAGCGCTCGGTGCGCAAAGCACTCCTCTCCCTGGACATCCACAAGTCGAGTGGGCCTGACGGAATCCCCCCAATTGTGCTGAGGACGTGTGCTCCGGAGTTGGCACCGGTTCTAACGCGTCTTTTTCGGTACTCCTACTCCCTATGCGTAGTCCCGAAATCATGGAAGACAGCTTTTGTCCACTCGATCCCTAAAAAAGGCGACCGCTCAGACCCGTCCAACTACAGGCCTATCGCCGTCACGTCCTTGTTCTCCAAAATAATGGAATCCATTATTAACTATTAGCTCATGCGGTACCTTGAGGATCACCAGCTGATTAGTGACCGCCAATACGGTTTTCGTTGGGGCCGATCAGCTGGTGATCTTCTGGTCTACCTGACTCATAGATGGGCGGATGCAGTAGAGTCCAAGAGGGAGGCGTTGGCCGTTAGTTTGGATATTGCGAAGACCTTCGATCGGGTTTGGCACAAAGCGCTTCTTTCGAAGCTCCCTTCCTATGGGCTGATATGTTGTTAACTGGTAACATTCATTGCTATGCGGATGACAGCACTGTTGATGCTTTATACACCGGCCGTGCCAATATTTCAAACTCAGATCATGTTGTAGACAGTGCATGCTCCGACTACAAGCCTATTAATGCTGGTGTTCCACAAGGCTGTGTGCTATCACCAACGCTATTTCTTCTGCATATCAATGATATGTTGCAAACTGGTAACATTCATTGCTATGGGGATGACAGCACTGGTGATGCTCTCACTGGTGATACAC